CTGGAGTTCCTGGGGCACGTGGTTTCAGGAGAAGGCCTTAAAATCGACCCTCACAAGGTGGAAGCTATCGCTAAGTGGAAACCACCGACGAATATCACCAAGTTGTAGAGCTTCCTGGGGTTTGTCAATTACGACCGCCAATTTGTACCCAATATGGCAGGGGTAAGCACGCCTCTAACTGACCTGCTGAAAAACAGCATGTTTTTCTCATGGGGGGAAAGAGAACAGTCGGCGTTCACCGAGCTCAAAAATATTTTGACTTCACTCCAGGTTCTAAGACTCGCCGACCCATCTCGACCGTTGGAAGTCATCACGTACGCCATCGATTTTGTCGTTGGCGCCGTCCTTCTACAGGATTTCAGCAAAGGCAGCAACCCATCGCATACGTGTCACGCAAAATGCAGCCACTCAAGCGCAACTACCCCGGTCCACGACAAGGAAATGCTAGCCATCATCCACGCATTTCGTACCTGGCGCTGCTACTTGACGGGAACTGACGTGATGATTTGAACAAACCATAAGCCCCTACATCATACGAACCCAATCAACACTCAACCCGCGGCAAATCAGGTGGTTGGACTATTTTGAGTCTAATTTTTGCTACACCACCATGTACAGAAAGTGCGACAACAACATCGCCGACGCCCTGACCCGACCATCGATGCAGAAAGCAACAATACTCATCACTCAATCCAACCTGATATTAACGGGAGTATTCACCCACGGCTATACGATCGATCGCTTCTTCAAAAACCTCCATCGACAGGCAACAATGTAACGCGGAAAGTATAACCCAAAAGCCGGTACGAGCTGGATTTGGGTCCTAGCATACCAACCCTGACGAGAGTTGCTGGCGTAGGAGGTTTACGACTCCAACCTTTCCGGACATTTTTGCATCGACAAAAAACTCAAGGTGCTGCAGCGGATTCACAGATAGCCCAACGTGCTGACAGGCGTGCACCGCTACGTGACAACTTGCCCGACCTGCCAAGCCATAAACTTCGGACAGTCTCTTCTCAGGTGGCCCAACTGGTTGCATGCAAAGCACAGCCCGATGGCTCGGCTTGGCGCATCCACGCAGTTGATCGTGGGCTGCTGAGTTGATCCACGAAATCGAGGGCCCTCCCAGGAGCTCGATCTCGCCCACTGCATCAGTGCATCCGTTGATTCGGCCTCCTGGACGGCGTTATTGAAGCTGCTTGGCCGCGAATGTCGAACTTCGTATTGTATCGCGTATTTTAGTCTCACCACATAGCAATCCAAGCGCTCAGTATCACTCATATCGTCCACCTGGTTGGCCAAATTGCAAAATGTGCTCAGGTAGTGTTGGACAGAAGGCACGTACCTTCATGTGGGCAGAACCTGAGGCGGATATATGCTCGAACCTAGCTTGCAAGGTGGTGCACCACTCTCTACACGTGCGTATCGTGGCCGTCTCGAAAATCGAAGCTACTCGTTTTGTGACAGGTGTCAAAGTTTCGTCGTTCGCACATATTATCCCTACCAGATTCTCCTCTCTTTGCAACATTCGTCGCCACCATTCCAACGCAGGTCCTCGTAACAGTGATACTGCAAAATTTATGCGGGTAGCATCCCCATTAATTGTCGTAGCATAAAAGAACACCTCCACGCCAAACAATCATGCAGAAATAGTGAAAAGCTTGTCACTCGGGTTAGATAGGGGCGGGTTCGTCGGCTTAATCTTGCCAGTTGTTAAAGCTGCCACTGCCGCTTGAACTGTTGCCGCTGCTGATGTCGTCGCTGGTGCACGTGTCGGCACTACTCGCGACTGTTGTTGCTGCGACTGTTGCTCTTGGTCCCACCTCTCGCCTGCAGCATCCATGGAGCCTTTGAGCTCACCGAAGACGGCCTCGTTTGGCGTGAAGCTACTACCTGTTTCCTCCATGACGGACGACTCCTGGCAGTGCAATTGAGGTGCATACCATTATCATTTTTCCCTTGGCAGATTTTCCGCCAGGGAAAAGCGCCAGATGGCAGTGCAATTGAGTCAGCAAGCTGACCGCGGGCAAAGAAAAAAAACTAAAACCCACTTGGAAGGCATGCCATTCGGGAGCATCAACAATAAAATATTAGGGTTGAGGCTCTCGAATGGCATGCCGTAAGCGATGGGTTTTAGTGATTCTTTCTGACCGCGGTCAGCTTGCTGACTCACTCGGTAGCGTCGTCTAGCGCTCTGGTAGCGCTACCAAGTGCTACCGACGCTACCTAGTGCAATATATTGGAGAATTCCTTACACGACTCATAACATATTAAACCCCAAAAAGGTTACCATTCTCATTTTCTCCCTTTTGGATTACTGTGCGAGGTTCTGTGGGACTTGGGCACCAACGCTGCGCATCCATGTGGACATCCCTCGATATTTTTCGAAACCAGCCAGCCCTCCGGTCCACAAGATGTTGAAATATCCACGTGTCATCTCTGTGTCCACATTTACGCCTTTCTGTCATCACACATCATCCATTCGTGATTGCTCGGAGAATGAAGTGCAACTCTAACCACAACTTACCCACGATGCGAGCTCGCACTACTGTATCACGATTTCCACCGAAAGATTTGTCCTTAGAAACTGTCTATTCATGCGTGCCGCGTCATAGAACCCAGAGGGGTTGCTTGTTTCAAGCATTGCGCCGCCGCAAATGGTCTCATTCGGTTTTGTTGGTTGGGACAGAACGCGCTTACTGGCCCTAATTGCTTGCGGGACTTTCCAACCAGCGCGGTGCGTTTTTATTGAAGGATATGCCTACGTTGACTATTTTGGTACAGCTGGGCCTTTCGGAAGTAGACCCTGTGATTTGCCAACGTTGAGAAAACTGGTTTGATGAACCAAAAGCGAGAAAGGCTGAGGGAGATGCTTGATAAGAAAATTCCGTTTGCTCAAAGCATCAGACGCTTCAATTTGAGGGCAGTAATGACTGTTGATGCATTTACGTCCGAGTGCATTACATCCAACTAGAATATAGGGCAACGGGTTGCAGTTGGAGAGGAGGTACAGTAAATTCCTGCTAATCCGACAAATTTTGCCCGACAGAAAAGCAATCAGGGTGTGCACAAGAGCGACATACTGTACACGAGAACAGTGTACAACTGTGCGGTTGCCCTTGACAGTGTCTAATTGAGGCGGTTCTGAGAGAAAAACTCTTCTATGAAAGGTAGCCTATCAGAACAACCTTGTACCATGTGTAGATGTTTTGAATGCAGAATTCCTTTTTGTTCAGATGTACCAGGCTAGTCATCTGGAATGGTCATCATCTGGTGTACTTGAGATCCATTTTTTTTAATTACAAATTGTCAGTTGGTAGATCTAGAGCCATACTCTAGTAAAAGTCCTCGTAGAGAATTCATGACCTTCACTGTTAGTCTCCCCGACAGTTTCCTTGTTCCTCTAGGTGCCGCACAACGCCACCCATTTGCATCAAGTCTGGTCCTCTTGCCGTCGTGTATGGTACCCACTTGCATTCTTGGTGTCGTGTGCGGGACAACTGAATTTCTTGAAAGGCATCAGCACGCGTATTCTTCTTGACCAATGACCACACTGCCTAATTAGTGCATCACACGTTCAGTATTGTCTTTCGCAAATTTGACTTGTGTGTGTTGAATCTATGTGTGATTCCATTTTGTAAGTTTTTTTTTTTCATCTCCCATAACTCACATAAAGAGGACTTTGTCGATACAAAGTTCATTTCGCACGGTCCTTTCTACCCTTCGAAGTGGTGGGTTGGCAAGCAGAAGAAAAAAAAAGGACCTCCACTTTTGATTCAACAGAGGATGCACAATCGAGAGTCGGAGACGCGCTGTGGCTCTAATCCCTGAACCAAGCACATCATCGCCATGATCCACTGCCGCGTCTCTTGAGGTCGTGCCGTGTAACCGCTGCAAATGGCCTATTCTTGAACCGACTGCAACCACAGCAGTTGGTGTGAAGAGAAATAATATTCCATCAAGCCCACAAACTGCTATCCAAAGGGTTTCGTCTCGTCACCGTCATCCCCTGCTGTGCCAGCGCCTCTCGCCCTCTTCCGGCACTACGTCGCCGGCACGACTCTCATTCCCAACCTAGCCCGTCCTCTTCCACATCAACGAGTCGGCAACGCTCTTCTATTCAACACTTCATCTAATCGTCGACTCCGCCACCTCAATAAGCTCCGCGACCCCGAAGAGACTTCGCCATGGCGAGCAGGCAGGCAGTAGTGGTGGCGCGTCGACCAGATGTGCTCCGAGACGAGATGCTCTGCCCCATCCCTCCCGTCAACTGGAAGGAGGAGACGGGGCCCGGCCGACTCAAGGAGCCAAGCCCGGTTGCTAGCCCCGTCGCTGTCCATCATGGCTTGGACAGCGAAGCGTGCCCCATCGCCCCGCAAGACTGGCGCTCTCGCTCTCAGAGTGACGCACCAGGAAGGATAGCAGTGCCGCTAGTGCGCAGGACCGAAACAGCGGCGTCGACTGCGTCTTCCGAAGGCGATAAATCAGGCGGCAAACGGCGGGGCGAAACGGCCACACACGAAAGTACACTTCAACTCATAGTGGATGCAATTCAGCCGGCGGCGCAAGAGCTTTTAACAAAAACCGGCACTCCCGCTTCATCCGCCACTCCGACGTACTTTGCGGCCTCGCAATCCGTCGCGTCCGCGCTCATGTCCCCTCGCCCTGTCACGGGCACGCCTTCCTCATCAGCCGCGTCATCCGAGACTGGCGCGCCTTCAGGCACTTTGAGTTCCAGCAGCGGCAGCAGGAGGAGCAGCCGCAGCAGCAGCAGGAGCTCCGCGTGCGCCGAGGAGGTGCAGCTAGAGGTCACCGTCAAAAGCCCTGATGCAAAAGCGCAAGCGCCGTCCTCGTTGCCCGCGTCTACCACTGCGTCCCCTTGTGGCAAGGGCGTGCGTGCGCTTGCGCGTCACACCAGCGAGTATGGCCCGACTCGAAACAGCTCCGAACATAGCGATGGCTCTCACGAGAATTGCGTCCAAGCCGAGCTGAAACAGGGTATGGACGTATCGCCAATCGGCGACTTCTCTTCGCGCGGATTCGGTTACACTGGCCTAGTCAAGTCCTCATCGGGGGGTCCATTTCTCGCGCCTCTTTTCCCATCTTACGCCTCGTCTGCCGCCTCCGTCGCAGCACCTGCGGTTAGTACTACCTCCGTCGCGCTCTTTCCTTCGGAGAGCGATCTTTCCGTTTCGCATGCTGTCTTCAATCCCGCGTCAGCGAGGGACGCAGTGGAGCCGGCCGCGGCGGTAACGGCGGCGCGGCGCGTCACTGTGGGCGGCGTAGCGCAGTTCCCGTGCTATCAGTCGCCACGGGACGTGTTCGCGGGAATTTCAAATTCCCCGACTGAACAAGCGGCGGTGGCAACAGGCAGCTGTTTCGGCCGAGCAGCAGCGGAGGGAACCACGGGCAGTGGGCGCAGGCGATTCTCCGAGGCTTCGAGTCGTGAGGAAGCGATTCGCGCGGGAATTGAAATGGGCGTGGCCATGGGCGTAGGCGTGGAGATTGGGCAGCGGTGCCGCGAGACTATAAGCAAGGGCGGTGAGGAAGCAGGAGCTGATGTTCCTGCAGTGAGCTGCGCGGATTGGTCAGGTGAGTTCGCCGTTGATGGTTTGACTTAGCTTTAAAGGTATCGCCATTGCCGATGTATAGCGCATGATGTGTTTATGTATGATTCCGCCCTAGTGTTCGCGCTACCCATTTCCCTCCTCCCCCTTCCTCTCCTTTCTCGTGTTTCCACCTTTCCCACTGATGTGTCCACCTTGGCAGAACTGAGTCATCTGTGCGGCAAGATGGACGCCGCGGGGATTCGCATTGAACAGATCGACCTCACCACGCTTGGCGACACCGTTGACGATATCACCATCCACTGAGTCTCCATACCTCATCGCCTTTGAAGTGGGCTTTGCGTTCTTGCTCGCCCCACCGCCTCCTGGTTCATTGCATGTGGGAGCCTGCCAATTTCGCCATCAGCTGGACGCGCTTGGGTACGACTGTCGTCGCATCTTACTACCCGTCTGTGGACTGACCACGACATCTTAGGTGCAGAGTTCACGCACCCGTTACCATCAGCGTTTAACTCATCGGAATAAACGTCTCTTTCACTCTATCCGTACCTTCCCAACTCTCGTTTCGCTCTGTCTATACCTCAAATCTTACTGTCCACGTCAACCACCATCAAAGCTAGAGCAGCCCAGACTGTAGCTACTCCATCTCCCAGCCACAGGGTTCTTTGTTGTGAGATTTGCTCTCTTCTGGAACTCTCAACCTTGTATGCCAAGTCAATAGTGTACAATTCAAATCAGACGTCATTCATTCCACTTCGCCAAACATTAAGATTCAATTCATGCTACCAAACTACATCGTGGTACCGTATGTACAAGCCAAACATTTGACGAGGATGGTACTGATGAATGTATGAAAGCAGAATCGTCATATTACAGTGTGCTGATTGAATGTCTCAATGAAGGCATCAGTCATGAATTGGCCTCTCTGGCACATCACGGAGGGCTCCTTCGGGGTGCCCCGCGAACTGCGCTCCTTCGTATGCCTGTTCCGCCCGCGCCTTTCCGCCCTTCCGACCCATCTCCACGTAGTCCTCGTGTGTCATCTGAGCCTTGCGCGCTTCACCACCCTTCTTCCCCCCCTCCACAATCTTCTCATGCGCCCTCTCAGCCTGCTCCTGCGTTTGGCCAAGTTGGGGGCCTGTCTTCAGCTCTTCCCTACGCGACGCCATAGAAACAGCTCTGCTCTTGGGTGGCCAACGTCGTGGAGTGGGCTCTGGACACTTGCGTCGTAGTACTAATTACTACGAGATTTGACTTCGGTGATTCTCGTCCATAAAAATAGGCGAGAAACAGAACAAAAAATCTGAATGGAACAAGAGACGAAATTGATGCTTCGCGACGCGACGGACAGCATGCGTTGCGACCCGACGTGGCGTGTCTCTCGACAACCCCACCCGTCGTGCATGAGCCTTTGTGAGGCTTGCAAGCTCCCGTGTAGTTTTGAACTCTACTAGCGAAGCCTTTGGTAAACACTACTATATGTAACTTCAGAAGGTACTGTAAGTCTTAGACACATCAAAACACACTTGGAAAAAGTAAAAATTTAATCTAAACTTCAGATGAGCGTCAACTTTTGCAACGCTGCATTGCTTCCACCTGAGTGTTGAATTTTTAATTGGCGTGGGGTTGAATAAGCTTCCTCCATGAAAACATGTTCATGCGTGTAACCCGCTGTTTTTTTCCTGAATGGATCACATCATAATCCAGGAGTAGCGGGAAGGATATTGCACCCAACCTAATCAGCATACTTCAGAATGTGCAAGGGCATGACGAGATCTTGAATGACAGCCATTGATGGAGAGTGAACTGCAAGCTCAAACGATGTCTGCAAGTCATTGAACAAGGCGGAGTGCATGCGGGCAGTCAGGCAAGGGAGGCAGGGGTAGTGGGGAGGAAATCCTGATAAGAGAAACAAAACATGGTGGGGGGGGAACAAAATGGAAGTCACGGGGGTGTTTGAGAGTGAAATGAAGCAATAAGGTGAAAGCTGAGAAGGAGAATGCTTCAGGTAGAAGGAAAATTTGATCACATAATTGCAAACACATGCGATGCCATCCTTCTGTGCTGAAGAGCATGACTAAGGGCGTGTTCCTACGCCTCATATCAGGCAACCTCATATCAAACTTGCCTGGTAAAACTAGCGAAGAATTTTGGGTTTAGGGGAATTTTCAGTGTGAGCCTGATATGAGGTTCGCTTGATACGAGGCGTAGGAACACGCCCTAACACCAGACGGGCACAATGACTTACACGTGGAGAAATGACTAGCGAAGAAAAGAACGGTAGTGAATGTTTCCTCGAAACATCTTTAGTACATAGTTGTTGGCATTGACGAGTGCGAATAGTAGTGTGTCTGCTGCTACATTGCCTTCCCAGTTCGCCCTGGGCTGAAAGGCTCACCTGCTGAAACACCTGGCTATGCCCTGTCTGCACAAAGCCCTGGGGGAAAGGGTGGCAGGGAGGTGGAGAGGATGCGAGAGGGAGGGTGAGTGTGAGAGAGCAATGGAGTGCGTGGAGAGGCATTGTGGAAAGGGAGAAATGGAGGGAGGGAGGAGGGTTGGTGAGATTGGGGTGAGAGCGAGGGGTCGATGGCGTGGAGGCAGCGGAAGAAGGTTGATACAAAGCTGGTTGCTGGAAACGAGTATTGAGAGAAACGGCTCATCCGCCCCTCGATTCATATGCTGGAGGACTATGACTGCCATGCTGCGCGCTTCACTGCTGTGCTGTGTCGTCCATACAAGCTTGGCTGTGCTGTCCTGCACATCTCCTGCCCACCGCCTTGGCGTGGCAGCAAGGCATCACAGTCTACTGCCAGGGCGTTCCCTTGACAACTAGGGCAGCAGAGAACACTAGAAAAAGAGGGGTGGCGAGGGGAATAACGACTGGCACAGAGCAGACAGCAAGGTGAATGTGGGGATGGAGGAGGCAGGCAGCATGTGGGACGCACGAGGGAGCGGAAGAGTGCGAGGGAGGGCGCATTGGAGTCGTTGATCTTGGCGCGGAACGTGGTGACGTGCAGGTGCCACGCCGCGTATGCCAGCATCAGCTGCAAAGCCTCCCTCCCCAAGCCCCGCCCTCGACTGGCCTTGCCACACAGGGGGGAGACAAAGCGGGGAGGACAAGAAAAAGGTGATGAGAAAGAGCAGGGAAGGGGAGCCTGCCGATCATTGACCCACCCCCTCGTCCTCGCCCGCTGATTCTCTCCTAACACCCCTCCGTCTGTCTACTCTATCCCTCTCCTCGTCTCCGTCTCCCGTGGTGTGCCAGTGTGCGTCTCACCACGTGGGGTCGGCAATCATGACCTCCACCTCAGCAGCCGTGGGATGGTCAGGGTCGTTGAGGAAGAGGTTCACGTCGCCACACATGCCTGCCACACACGCCGCACAGGTGCACTCACACCACGTGCACGGGAGGAGGAACGAAAAGCGGTAACACGTGAACCGTACAGTCACTGCGAGAGGAGGTAGAAGTGTTGGTGAGAGGTGGGGAGGGTGTGACGTACCGTCAAGGTGGGAGGGCGAGTGGCGAAGGCAGCCTACTGCGTCGCCCTCTGCTGCTGCCGCGCCTTCTACTGCCGCTGCTGCCGCTGCTGGCACTGCTGCTGCTGTCTCTGGTGGTGCACCCAAAGATGGGTCCGTGGTAGCTCCAGGCAGCTCCCCGGAGGTGTTGGCTAGGACCGGTATGTGTGAACGGTCTAGCAGTATGAAGGTGCACCCTGATGCTCGCACACATGCACACATGCACACATGCACACATGCACACATGCACACATGCACACATGCACACATGCACACATGCACACATGCACACATGCACAAATGCACACATGCACATGTGCACACATGCACACATGCACACATGCACATGTCCACGCATACGCACAGCGGCACACGTGCACACATGCACACATGCACGCACGCACACATGCACGCATGCACGCATGCACACATGCACACACAGATAACGCACCCACACACACATTTTCTGACGTGTGCACATCAAGCGCACACGAGGGGCACAGACAACCAGGCAAAGAGCAGCAGCGGGCATGCAATGCAGCACAGCATGTGCACATCACTCAGTCCCCTTCCCGTGTGCGCCCATGCCCTGTACCACCCCAGTCCCTGCATCTCACTGTCGCTGTCGTCTCGCCAGCGCTGCTGCATGCTGTACTCCTCCTCTAGGCTCAGCGGCTCCGATCCTGTCGCCTCCTGCAGCCACGGGTCCTGCCACACCAGCGCGGGCAGGTGGGTGTAGAGCAGCGGGGGGGTTGAGGGGTTGAGGGGGGTGACGGAGGGCGAGGGGGCGATGGGCGAGGAACGAGCGGAGAGGCGAGAGACAGGGGGGTGGGGGCGGGAGGAGAAGTAGAGACGCAAGGGGCATGCGAGATGGAGACGGGGGACAGAGGGGAGAGGGGAGGAGAGGAGCGTGAAAGGGACGTGCGAGAGGTGGCCGTGATGTGCATGCGGTTCATTGGCGCACGCGAGCACGCTTGCTCACCTGCATCCACGAATGGTACTTGGCCACGTGGCATGCGCGGTAAGGCACCAGCACCACCTGACGTGCGGAATGATATGCATTGATAGAAGGGGCATGGAGGAGAAGAGTGGGAACGGGAGAAGAGAGGAGAAGTAGAGGGGTTGGGGGGAAAAGGGGGGAGGGGGGGAAGGTGGAAGGTGTGGAAGGCGGGGGATTTGGGGGGAGGGTGAGCACGCGAAGCAGCAGCAGCACCACTCCTTCCGCCGTCTGAACCCCGCTTCCGCCGCATTACCTTTCGGCCAACCACGCACGTGCTCTCGTTCGCCCGCATGGATTTGTGCGCACCCCCTTCCGCGCTCAAGCGAATGCGGCACTAGCGGAAGCGCGCCGTGGTTGGCGGTAATGCCGGGATCCAACTGCACGGTTGTGAGCGGCGAGTGGGGGAATGCAGCGCGGCTTCTGCACACTGCACCCGGATCTGAGTGACTAGAGGCGCGGCAGACAATATACTTTACGGTTTGCAGGGTTCAGTGTGCACCTTCCAGATTCCAAATCAAACGTACGACAAGGAACTAATTGAATGTGATGCAAATGAGGATCTAGCTTTCTTCACGAGCATTTCCCAGCTTGGTGAGGCCGTCGGTGGCAGGTTTGCGAAGTCGGGGAGACCGAAGCTTTCGTTTGGACTCACCAGCATGGAGTCACCCCTCAGGACGCGGTAAAAGGGGGAGGATCGCAGGATCGCGATTGTTTTTTGAGCCCCAGAATTGATTGGGCGGGTCGATTGGCGAAACGAGTGGCCCGCTTGGTTGTAACGATCGCCCCAGCATGATGGTTTGGCTCTTCCACATTCGATACTTTGGTTTTTCCTACGACGCCTGCGACATTTCGTAACCTACAAGGCAACCAGAAGCGACATTCGCAGCCCACAGGCCCACATTGCGGGAAAGATGCGAGACTCCATTCACCCGCTTTGCGAAATTACGGCACTTCGCTGGCATCAACATCAATCGTGCCTGTTGCGAGTGGTTCGTGAGCATCATCTGCAGAGTCATGCGTCGGAAAGCTGGACACCAATCAGTGATCAGACGCATTCACCACCTGTGCACAATATGTCGACAAAATCCAAACTGTAGTATGATTACAAGTCCGTAAACAGGGTAACTGATCTGCACACCAGTCGCAGTTCACGATCAATCGTCTACTTTTACCGCGTCCTCAAGTCTTGGAGGGTTCACTCCATGCCGAGCCTAATCTTCCGAGACAGCAGTTGTCAGTTCGATATAGTGGAAATCACACATATAAGGGAGTGTACTGATTCTAATGGAAATGTTTATTCTGATTTGATCCTCAGCCCATTATTCATGAGATCACATATGAGAAAACTAAATATAAAAGGCTTACACAATGTCCAAGAATCAGAACCAGGGCATCCACCATATGTACATGCGGGCAAGGTTCTCAATGGAGGTGGCCTGCTGTATGAGGCAATCCGCCTGCCCCTCCACTGACAGTGGCAGCGATGGCGCTGCCGCCACGCCCACCACCACGCCCTGCAGCCGTGAGTCAATGTTCGACAGTGCTTTCTGTGGCAACAGAGGGAAATTGACCAAGTGGGGACAGAAAGAAGATGTGTGAGAAGGAAGGCAAGTGGGGGGAAGGCAGACGACATGGCAATTGTGCACCTATGGGGCTCATGCACTGCACACCCCATGGCCCACACACGCGCGCACACACACACACACCTGTGCATAAGGATTCTGAATCTCCCCCGTGCCCATAGCCACACCTCCTCCCCCAGCAGCAGCAGCCGCAGCGGCAGCAGCGGCAGCAGAGGAGGAGGAGGAGCGGTGGGGCTTGGTCCACTCGACAAGGGGGTCGTGCAGGAAGGTCTGCAGCACGGACATGAGCGCGGAGCGGTGGCAGCGCAGCAGCGCCAGTGTGATCTCCGCCGAGCGCCGGAACATGCCCTCACACCCACTGATGCCAAACCCGTCCACCATGTTCTGGTGCGCCGCACACACGGAGCAGGGGCACGGGGCACAGGCGATGAGTGGACGGAGAACAGAATCGGCAAATGTGATTGGATCAAAAGAAGGAAAGGGAATTGGTGACTTGGTCAAAGGATAAGAAATAACAGGGTTAAGGAGCGTGTGGGGAGGCGGGAGCAGTGGCGAGGAGCGAGTGAGATGACAGAATGCGAGGACACATGGCTGGGAAGCAAGCCACCTGTGAGTAGAAAACACCGTCATCACTCACGCAGTTGAAGCCTGCTTAATCGCATCCCTCCTCCCCTCGGGCGTTCACACGAGAGTGAAGACGCTTTGAACACCACTGCAACCAAACCCTCCAACATGTGCCTCACCGTACAATCCTTCCCGCAAGCCCGTAATCTGCACATCACCACATCCCCCATCACCCACCACCCACCATCTCTGCGCCGTCCCAGCTTCGCCCACCAACACACACCACACGTCCCCTCCCCAGCAGCAGCAGCAGCGCAGTGCACGCACCTGAGTGAGGCGGAAGGGCACGAGCTCGGGCTGCTGCAGCGACAGCCCCTTGTCGAAGAGGCAGCTGAAGTCCACGTGCACGCACTCGCCACTGGCGCCGTCCACCAGCAGGTTCTCCCCGTGGCGGTCGCCCAGCCCCACCACGTGCCCCACCATGGACCACACCGCACAGCTGCGCGTGAACGCTGCGCACGCCGCCAGCCACGCGGAGGGGTCGGGGAAGGCGCGGGGGAACCAGCGGTGGAAGAGCGGGGGGAAGAGCGGCAGCACGTGGCGGCGCAGCAGGTCTGCCTCGCTCTGTCCCGTGGATGCGCGCTGATCGTACAGCCGCTTCACCTGCCCCAGCGTCTTCTGCCGGTCAAACAGCCCGTGCGCCGCGTACAAGTCCTGGTGCGCACGGGGGATGTACAGGACGAGAGGGCCGGTGGGCATGGGGGGAAAGGGGGAGAGATGATGTGTAGAGAGGAAGGTTGATGGAAAAGTCTTGGGCCATGGGTTGCTGGCGACCGCAAGCAGTACAGAGTTCTCAGCAAGGCATCTCCACGTGTAAGCCTGCGTGCATGCGCACCTGCATGACGTGGCGGAAGCCGCGCGTGTGCGGCACCCACTCCACCATGCCGCAGTCCTCTGTGAGCGGCAGCACGGCGAACGTGCGCAGGCGCAGCGCGCGGCGGCGCCCCTCGGGGGCGCGGTGCAGCAGGCGGTTGAGCAGCGTGGCGACGTCCATCATGCGCGCGTCCTTGCGCAGATCGTCCTTGGGCTTGCACAGGAAAGGGTACCGCATCCCGTCACTGCCCACCAGCACCACCTGTGTGGGGGCTCACGAGGGTAGGATGGGACCGGGGCAGGAGTGAAGGGGGAGGAAGCGAAGGGAGAGAGGGCTGGCGAGTGAAGGGAGAGGGGAGATATTCGGGGGAAGACGAAAGCGGACGAATGAGTGAGGGCACGCGGGAAGGTCAGTGAAGCCTGGTGTCCTCAATCCTTTCATTCCTGACCTTCTTGGGGCGCTGCAGCGACTGCAGCACCTCCACCTCATCCGCAATCCCACAAATGGTCACACACTCGCCCTCCCCACCGCCACTGCTGCCACCACTGCTGCTGGCAGCGGCATAGGGCGCAGCAAGGACGGCTTGAGTGGGCAGTGCAACAGCGAGTGGCATGGAGCGCTTGAGCGCACTGAAGTCAGAGGAGATGCTGAGCGCCCTCATGCGCGGCGCTGATGACCCCGTGCTGCCGTGGAAACACAGCCGAATCATGGCGTCTGCAAACGACGTGAACTGGGATGGGGGGAGGGATGCGGAGAGAGAGGGAGGGAGGGGGGCAAGGGTCAACTCTGTGCGTCACTATGGAGATCCGCCCAGCATGCGGGGCTGACGCTGAACGCAGGGCTTGGAGTGCGAACCATATTGAAGCCATCACAGTACGTGTCGATAGTGGGAGCGCCACAGAAGCAGCAGAGCAAAGCTTGTATTGTTAGCCTAGAATTCCAAATGCTAAATGCATGCTTACTTGTGAGATGAGAGCAAGGAGGCTTGTGCCAGCAGCACCGCCCTCCTCTCTGGCCGCTGCCTTGGCCCCAGACACCACCTCGTTGGCGGCATCCCTGCGCGCCGGCACAGCAGACTTGCACACAGCGATGAGCGTCCAGAGCGTGGGGTGCGGGTGCGCCGTCAGCAGGCGCACCAGCAGCGCCTTGAGCAGTGCGCACACGGTGGGGTTGGGGTGGCAGATGCGCGAGGTGAGCTGCGGCAGCGCAGCCAGCCAGTGTGCCGAGGGCAGCGACGCAATGCAGTCCGCCATGAGCTTGTGCACGCGTGCGCTCTCCGCCTTGAGCGCAGCGTTGCCACGCACAGCGCTCTCCTGGAAGCGGCCACCGAAGTCGAACCAGAGGGTGAGGACGCGCGGCAGGGCCTGTGAGAGGAAGAGCGTGCCGCGGTGCAGCGCGTTGGAGTAGCACAGCAGCGCCTCGTGCACGTGCTGCCACCACGCACTCTCCTCCACACCCAGCCGCACCGCCGCTCCTCTGCTGCCCCCCACCCCGCCCGTGCCTGCACTGCTCACGCCCCTCCCACCACCCGCCCCGTTCCCTGCACGCCCCTTACCCCCCCCTGCTCCCCCTCCCCCCACTGCTGCCGCTGCAGTTCCACCATCATCCTCCTGGCGGCGCTGCGCGTCGACGAGCAGGTCGTCAAAGTAGCGCGCGAGGAAGAAGGGCTTCTCCCACTGCGGTTGCAGCTGTGCGGCGCGCTCGTACACGTGCACCACGTCCGCTGTCTGCTTCTGCCGCGTCTCGTGCGACCACCGCGCCAGCAGCAGGAGAGCCCGTGCCATCTGCCACGTATCCCTCGCTCCTTCCGCCCCTCCGCCGCTTCCTCCCCGCCCTACTCCTCCAGCAGCATCCTGCCCTGCGTTGTTATCCCCTGTACAAGCCGCCTCGGCAACGGTTAAGAACTTCTGCAGCTCCTGTGTGGCCTGGTACTCTCTGCCTGACGCCCACAGCACCTTGGCTGCCTCCACTTCCGAACCTGCTGTTCCCAGCGCCCGAGCCTGCAGCACAGACCTGGTGGCAGCCTGGCAGTGCCCAGCCTTGCGACAGGTACGGGCGAGCTCGAGCCAGTTTCGCCCAACCTCGTCTTCAAGTCTGGCAGCTTGGCACAGCATGCGCCGAACCGCAAGCACCAGCTCCCGAACCTTGAAACTTGGTTGGGTTGCATGCAGTCGGCTCGGCCAGGCCTGAAGCCTCTCTTGTACTTGTGCTTTAAACTCTTGTATACTGTTGTCCACTCCTCTTCCTGGTGCTACTGCTGCTGCTGCGTCTCCAATTAGTCCCAGTGCTCCAGACCTCCCCCCACCCCCCTGCAACCTCCCCAGCCTGGCCCCGCCACTCCCCAGCAACGCACCACTGACCCCTTGACCGCCCCCACCAGCTGCAGCCGCAGAGCACGCGCTTATAACGGGTATACATGCTTCAATCTCGTGCAGGGCGTGCAGGTTGACGAGCACGGGGTAGGCGCGGTCGTACGACTCCATAGCTGCAGCAGCCAGCGCCGGCAGCACGCATGCACGCGTGCGCACCACCTCCTCCCGGCACTGCGCCCACGCTGCTGACCGCATCGCCAGCCCCACTCGCGCCAGCCCCACTCGCGCCAGCCCCAGCTGAAACTCCTCCTGCCACCCCGCTCCCCCCACCCTCGCTGCACCCAGTCCGTCCGACATTGCCTGCTCGTCATGCTGTGGCACAGGGTGAGCGTCTTGCTGAGCCGCGGCCACATACTCATGCAGCAGGTCCCATGCGCCCAGGCGCCACGCTGCCTGCACGCCCGTGGCCGCCCATGTGGGGGCGGCGAGGGGGAAGCGCAGCAGCAGCCCGTCCACGTGGGTGAGCGTGGCGTGCAGGTGACCCATGCTCAGCAGACACCCCAGCAGCCCCACGTGCAGACCCACCCGCATGCTCGCCTGCTGCTGCTCCACTGCTTTCTCTTCGCACGGATACTCCGTGGCCCTTTCATCACACAGTTTCCCCTCTCCCACCCCCCCCGGCGGCAGCTGTTGTACCTCCACTCGTCTCCGCATCACCTGCACCCCACTGTCGCCTGTACATGCACCCGCCACCGCGCCTCCAGCCATGGCAACCCCCCCTGCAGCAGCGCCCCCCAGGGCGTCCTCGTACAGGGTGAGCGCGTCGGCCCAGCGCCCCTCCTGCTCGCACATCACCATCTCGTCCCTCGCTCTCACGCCACTCGCCTCCCCTGCCCCTGCTGCCCCACGCAGACTCACCAATCCGCGCATGCCATCTGGCTCCTCCAGCGACCGGTAGATCTCCAGCAGCAGCGACACATCAGCATCGCGGAACGCCCCTCCCTGGCGCTGCTCCTCCCTACTCCCACCACCACCTCCTCCGTTTCCTCTGCCTGATTCCCTTGCATCTGCTCCATCCCCAGTAACCGCCCCACCATTGTCCACTCGCCCCGGACCCGCCTCCGAACCAGCCAGGCTCGGCAGCGTAGGCTTGGCGCCACCCCCAGCGGCAGCAGGGTTGAGAGTGCCGGACCGCTCCCTGACACTAGCCTCGTGGTACATGTAGGCACGGGAATAAGCCTGGCAGCGCAGGGCCGCGTGCGCCAACACCTCCTTGCTCACCTCCCTCTCCACCACCCACCGCACCCGCCCACACACTTCCTCCGCATGCCGTACCTGCGCTGCAGAGCAGACAAACTTTGCCGTCCGTGCTGGCGCTGTGGCTGCTGTTGCTGCAGCCGGTGGTGGGGAGGGAGAGAGGAGGGCGAGGAAGGCGAGGAGGGGAGAGGAGAGGACGTCAGAGGGCGGGGGTCTGCCAGAGACGACTGCCATCTTGACCTGCTCCACCACGCTGCTCGCCTGCTCCAACCACGACTGCACCCAGTCCAGCAGCGAGAATACCGCCTGCAGTACCATCGCATCGCCCTTTGACGCTGCACCCCCATCGGTTCTGGACGCAGATGTGACACGGTTACCAGCAGCAACAGCAGAACCAGCGGCAGGGCCTGCCCCCTGCCCTTTTCCACCTCCAGGCGTCAAGGCCCAGGTGACCACAGCCAGAATTTCATCCCGAACCTCCCCCCTAGCTTCGTCGCTGCCAAAGCAGAGCACGTTGAGGGTGAGGTGTGGGAGGAGGAAGAGAGCAGTGGGCGCGTCAAACTGCAGGATGCCGGTGCAGGCAGCAAAGATGCCACCTCTGAACCCCGCTGCCTGCTCCACCATGCGCCGCATCCACCGGTACAGCCACCGCCGGAACAACGCCCCTGGTCGAAACACCGCCCTCAAGAAATCTCCAGCGCCACCCACACCTGAAGCTGCGGGCCCTCCTTGCTGCAATTCTTGTTTCGTGGCAGAGGAGCGTGTTGGCAGGCGCTGCAGGCTGAAGTGGGACGTGAGGCACGGCGAGATCACCTCCCTCACCTCGCCCCGCAGCCTCTCCCACAGCCTCACGCCCCTCTCGCTCCACCGCCCCTTCCCCTTCCCCCCTCCCTCCTGTCCCTCTGCCGCTGCCTCCGCCGTATCAGCCTCCGCTCTCCTTTCCTCCTCGTCAACCTCCTCCTCCTCACGGCTGCGCCGGCACCCGAACACGCGCAGCATCTCCTGGATGGCGCACGCAGCGGCGTCCTGCACGTCGGCGTCCGTGGCGGCACGCACCACACGTGCCAGGTGCAGCGAAATCAGATCCGCTGCCAGCTCCTCATCGTCGCATGCAACCATCAGTGCACATGCAGACCCGCACCCCTGCCCCACACCCTGCTGCTGCTGCGCCTGCTGTGACCCTGTGTGTGCTTGCAGCATGGCGGCCTTGACCCCCGCTGAAGTGGAGAGCCTAGCAGGGTCCACGGCGCCTAGCTCGCCCAGGCACTCAGCGCAGGCGAGCTTCAGCAAGTGACTCGTCACGGTCTTCGACTCCTCTGCACTGCCCGCCAGCAGCGCTGCCACGGCCGCGCACTCTGCCTCCCTGTCCGCCTCTCGCTCGCTCACCAACATGGCACTCACCGCACCACCATGCTCCTGCAGCAGCCGCTTCATGCCGTCGGCGGCCACCAGGCGCACGCTGATGGACTCGTGCCCCAGCCCCGCCACTGTCAGCACCACCTTCTCCCGCACCCCCAGCCGCCCCCTCGCCTCCTGAATCACACCGTTCACGTGTCGCAGGGCGCCCAGGTCGGGCAGAAGCGGCAGGGCGCGCAGGTGAGAGCCCAGGATGGCGCCGTGCTCAATCACGAGCGCACTGAACACCGCAGCAGCTTTCTGCAAGTGCGGCCGAAGCATCTCCTCACCCTGCGCTGCCCTCACCGCCCGCTGTGTCATCGCCAGCTCCTTCACCTCCTTCTCCGACAACCCTCCCCCCAGTTACCACACCACTCTTCCCCTCACTGCTCCTCCCCCCCCTCTTGCCCCTCGAACTCCCATCCCGGCTCTTCCCCTTCCCCTGCCCCACATCCCCGTCCTCATCCCCCTCCCCCACCGCCCTGTCCCCCGCACCTGCCCATTCGTCTTCCAAGGCCCCTTCAGGGCCTTCCAAGCAGGGCAGCAGCGCGACGGCGATCTGAGAGCACATGCTCCTGAGCACGCCCGGTGCATACTCCGCCAGCGTGTGCACAAACCTCAGCCACACGTCCAGCCCTGTGCTGCGCACGCTCTCCGCCTGCCCCTGCTCCACGCCCACCGCCAGCAGCGCAAACATCTTGGGCGCAAACGCCGCCAGGCGCTTGGGGCCGGCCAGCTTGGCCAGCTGCCCGATCACCCTGAGGGCCTGCTCTTGCCGGGGTGGGTCGGAGCGCAGGCGCAGTGAGGAGCGGTGCAGGGCGTTGAGGATGCGCATGAGGTGCGCGCACAGGAAGTCCGCTGCCCTGTCCTCCGTGGCCTCGCTGCCCGTTGTCAGCGCCACCAGCTCCCTTATCGTCGGGAACACTCGGCTCGCCCTGCCATGCACACACAGCATCACAGGTATGAGCGGGAAACAGGACTTGTGGTTTACGTCAGGAGGGGAAGCAAGGAAGGAGCAACGAGAGCAGTAGTGCGTGCAGTGCAGGACGACAATGGCATGTGGTGGAAGGCGGATGGAGTGGAATGGCTGCCAGGGCAAGTCGGCCATAGTTACCCCAGCAACTACAGCAACCCAGCGGTATCTCCTTGTATGTGAGAACATGGGAACGGTGCAAGGCAAGGCAAGTCAAGGCAGGGCGCTTACCGTTTGAGCGCAAGTTCGCTGCTGTGGTCCCCCAGAAACCAGCACATCTCCTCCAGCAGCGGCCCTGTGATGCCCGCAAACACGTCCTGGGGCGACAGCCCCGTGTGCGCCTCATAGAAGTGCAGCAGCAGCAGCAGGCTCTGGCTGTCCGTGCACAGCAGCAGGCGCGCCAGGATCTTGTGCGCCCACATCATCAGCAGCAGCGCCAGCTCCGTGCCCTCTGCCTGCGCTATCGCCTGCAGCACCGCCAGCGCCTGCACAGGGACCGAGCAGCACAGAGGGAGACGCAGAGGCGAAGAAGAAGAAAACGCATCATGGGAATGAATGATGCCGCGCCGACATGATGCCGCTCCACAGCTACACATGATGCGCTTCGCACTACAGCCCCATGGCCCCCAACCCGCAATCCCCTGCCGATTCACGCGCGGATTCCTTCCCAGGGTCCTTACCTTAGCATCCGTGGCATCTCCATGCGTCTGCTGCGGTGACCCACCCCCCGCCTCCTCCACTGCCGCCTCCAGCACCTTGCTGGGCAGCACCACGGGCAGCATCCTCGTTATAAGCTGCTCCACGTCCCACCCCAGCACGTCGCGTGCAAAGGCGTGCACGAGGGCAGGGCGGGTGACGAGGCGGGAAGCGAGGTAGTCAAAGCAATCCTCCTGGATGCGCTGCACCACCGCCCACACACTCCCCTCACTGCTCTCTCCCATCGCACTGCCACCACCTGCAGGGCCTGTGCCTGCTGCCCCTTCTGCTGCGCCTGCTGTGCACGGCAAGGGCGATGGGACGCTGGCAGCACCGGTGTTTGGTGCGCGGGTGTGGTGGTGGGGGTGCGTGAGGCGGTGGCAGGAGGAGCGGAGCGTGGCGACTGCTGCTGCCTGCAGGGAGAGGTGCGCCGCATCCAGCTGCTCCACCAGGCCGGGTGCAACGTGGGCGCACGAGGGCGAGAGGGGGGCACGAGAGGGCGAGAGGGGAGGAGAGCAGAGGGAGAGCGCGGAGAGTGGGAGAAAGGTTATAGGGACGAGGAGATGGATGCGGTGGATCGTGGGTACAGGAGTGTGAGTGCACCTGCCACAGCAGGAAATTCATTCTTAAAAAAAAGGGGAGACATGATTGGTCAGCAAGAATGGTAACATCATGCATGAGAAAAGGGAAGCTAAAGAGAAGAGAGCAGCATTTGGTTGTGGGTGAGGAGTGGTTGACGCGGAGTGATGGTGTGCAGAGGATGGTGGTGTGCAGAGGATGGTGGTGTGCAGAGGATGGTGGTGTGCAGAGGATGGTGGTGTGCAGAGGATGGTGGTGTCCAGCATGGTTAGGTGGGCGTGGAGGATAGCGAGGGAGTGAGGAGTGGGCGAGTGAAGGAGTGAGGGAATGAGGGGCGATACCAGGAGAATGAAGGAGAAGAAGAGCAGCTGCGGGTCGGCTGCAGCACATGCCACAATCTCCCCTACAGCGCCCCATAACAGCCTCCTTGCGCCGCACATCATCATCGCCACTCTGCAGCCGCCCCTTGAACTTCTTCAGCAGCCTCAACGCTGCATCCTGCCGCTCCTCCTCGCTCCAATCCCCCTCCACCCGCTCCGCCCCTCCTCCCTCCCCTCCCCCTTTGTTCCCTGCCGCCGCACTGACATTTCCAGCCAATGGCATCACAACAGCTGGCAGGAAGAAGCAGCGGATGGCGGGGCGGAAGGCCCAGCGCACGGAGCAGTGGGGGTGGGAGGAGAGGGCGTTGAGGGACGCGAGGAGGGTGGGCTTGAGGGCCAGCAGGTGGACAGTGGAGGCGTGCAGCAGCAGCGAGGGCAGGGAGACGGCGAAGGCGGCTTTCACAGAGGAGGGGCTGTCGTTGCGAGCGAAGCACGGTATGATGGCTGAGAGGTCACGCGGAGGGATGGAAAGGCCACTTTGGGCAGCGGTGCAAGGGGGCATGCTTGCCTCATGCGCCTCCTGCTGTGCTGCTGGGTTCATGGTGTTGTGGGGTGCAGGGCTGGATGGCAGAGGGCTGCCAGCATTGGTGGGGGTCATGCGTGTGTGGGGGTGGAGGAAGTGAGAGCAAACAGGGCACAAGGGGAGGGGTGTATGGGCGGAGGCAGGGGTGCGATGATGGGGCAGTGGCGGCAGGGGGGAGAGAGAGAGCGCGCAGAGGAGAGGTCCCAGGGCACGCGCACATGCGACCTGCACCTCCTCGCTGCTGTCTGCTGCTAGCTTCCTGCAAGACAGAGGGGTCACACACACACATGGACAGGCACACGCACAGGCACACGCACAGGAAACACATTAGCTGTGAGATGCTGCAGCATAGTTGCTTGTTGAGAAGGAACCAAGGAGCAGAATGCACGAGGTGGAGAGGGCGTGCAGAAGGCCTCACCTTAGCAGTGGCACCACCCACTCCTGCCCCCACCCCCCACATGCACTCGCAGCGCCGGCCTCAGCCCTCCCTGTTTCTGCAGCAGTGGTGTGCGGCCTAACCGAGGCATGGTGTGACAGCCCCTTGACCGCCCACAGCAGCAAGGCCAGCAGCTCCACCGCTGCTCTGCGCACGCCCGCATGCTCATCCTGCATCGCCCCCTGCAGCATCTTGCTCACAGTGCCGACCACATCTGTCGCCCATGCGCCTACCACCACATCCTCGGCTGCCTGCCCTTGCTTCACTGCACTGCGCCCTGACTGCTCTCCCTCGTCTCCCTTCTCACTCTTCTCCTCCCCCTCGGCTCCACGCGTCACCTGGCTCTGAAGCCTTTCTACCAGCCATGACAGCACTGCCTCTGATACTCTGAGCGCATTCAATTTGCTGAGCTCCAGTGCCCCCACAGGTGCCTGCACGCCTTGCACGCTGTTGTTGTGAGCGCTGTGTTGGTTTCCAAGGGACCACGGCAGAAGAGCGACCTCACAAAGGTTCGTGATGAACCTGCCCGCCCCGCTGCCACTTCCCCCCTGATCACCACAACAGGCATGTGTGAGCAGCAAGCGGGCAGACGGCAGGAGAGCACGGACTCTGAGAGGACCAACAGCAGCAGCTTGACCTTCAAGGGCACAGGAGATGTGGCAAGGGATGGCGAGGATGCGAGCAGCGCTGTCAACCAGCAGCTGCGCCACATGCCACCGCCTCATCTCACCCCCTGCCTGCCCTGCACTGCAAGCAGCAGGTGGTGCTGCGGTGATGAGAAGAGACGCTCATGCCATCCACGCGCTCAGTGCATTGGCCGTGGTCCACCAGCACATGGTGCCTGGCAGGCGCTGCACCGCACAGCACACAACACCTACACCCCTCAGCCTCGCCTCCACATCTGCCCACGCATCTGCTGACATGTCTGCTAACGCCGAGCCCTCCATGTGCACGCTCTGCGGGTTGTTTCCCTTGGCCCCACCAGCAGCTGCACTGCATGGATACGGCCTATCAAGGAGCTCCAGTGCGGATTCTGGCGGCCATGCCTCTCGAATTCTCTCCACCACCGCCACCAGCAGGTGCCTCTCGCCCCAGCCACACGCCGCAGGAGCGCTCAGCTGCTGCACCTGCCATGTCATCTCCTCCTCGTGCACCAACAACCCATGGAACGACACGCCACGTCTCTCACTGCCTCCCAGCCCACCACTCGCCTCTGCCGCCCTTGCTGCTGCTGCTTGCTCCACATGCCCTGCCACTCCCCCATCTGCCGTTGCTGGGTTCACCCCTTCATCCCCTGCGATTTCCTCTGCCTCCTCTGCCAACCCACCCACTGACGTCCCTCCGCCACCTGACCCCCGCCGCCTGCTCACTGCACTCTTCCCAGAGCGCCTCTTCTTGGCGCTCCCCCTCGCTTGCTTCCCCCCTGCCTCCTGCCCCTCCCCGTCCTCCCCACCCGCTTCCTCCTCCGCCCCTCTCCTCCCCATCGCACTGCTCGCACCTCGCTTCCTCTTCCCCTTTACCGCGCTCTCACCCGCACCCCTCTCCTCATCGCCCACTACCCCTCTGCCTTCAGTCCCTCGGGACTGCTCCCCAATCGGAGCATCCTCTGTGGCAGGGCGAGGCCCACGCAACGTGGCCTTGTGCTGGAACACGGGATGACGGCGCAGCAGCAGAGAGAGGCATGCAGCGAGGGGCGTGGTGACTGGAGGGGGAGAGGCGAGGAGAGGGAGCAGGCTCAGCAGGAGGCGCTGGGAGTGGGGCGAGGAGGAGTCAGCCGGTGCAGTTAGTGCGGAGGAGCAGGGGGGAGGTGAGGGCGGGAGGAGAGGAATGGTGCGGCGCAGGCAGGTCAAAAGAGCGACCTGACAGTTCAATCGGTGACATGGGAGGGGAGGGTGGGTAGCGAGTGGGGGGAAGAGAGGGAGGGATGTGAGAGGGATTCCATTGGGTGTGAGGAAAGCAGCAAAAGAAAATCACTTGGACTTGTGGAACCTCGAAACTACTTCACTGAGGCAACCTGCATGCGAACCGGGTGAAAGGTGACGGGCTGTACGTGGTGTGAGAGGTAAGGGCACACCTGGAGGTGCAGGCAGGAGGTGTGCAGCAGGGCGTGTGGGAAGAGCGAGAGCAGCAGTGATGCACACACGCGCAGGGTGCCGTGCGTGGCAGCAGAGGCGAGCGCGTGCAGGCACTCCGCCAGGCTCTGGTCGTAGCAGCCCGTCCTGATTGATGGGGATAAATAAATGGGATGGGAGATAGCGGTGCAGGGGGGTTCATGCACACACGCTCGCATGGGCATGCGCTGACAGGAAGGACGGGGGGCTAGGCCCGGCATTTGGTAACATCAGAAAGTTGCAGCTTTGAATAAACGAGGGTGTGGGAGCACAGACCTGAAGGCGGGGAGGCGAGGGTGCGAGGAGGAGGTGGCGAGGATGGTGAGGAGGGAGAGCAGCAGCTCGTCCGCGCACAGGGGAGGCGCGCCAGTGGTGCTGATGAGGTCCCGCAGGGCGGAGAAGCACACCTGGCGGAGTTGGCATGGGAGAACGGGCAGGTTGTGGTGCATGGTTGGTTGGACACAGTCACACAGAGGCTTTCACGGCTTACGTGTGTGGGTCTAGCACATGCAGGCATATTATGACGGTAGGAATCACATGGTCACAGGCAGCGGATTGAACAGCCCAAAGGACGTCATGATTGATAACACGTTGCACAGCCCAGCCCACCTTGTGTAGTTGCGCGCTTCCAAAGCACAGGAAAGCACCCAGTGCGGAATAACAGTCTGCCGTAACAACCAGCCTCACAAGCTGCTTGCTGCTCCCAATGCTGCCAGTGCTGCTGCTGCTGGTGCTGCTGCTGCTGGTGTTGTTTCTCGTGGTGTCCCCAGCACCTTGGTCGCGGGCAAGGCGTGAGAGGAAAAGCGCACCGAACTCAGCAGCAGCCTGCCAGCGGTCCTCCGCAGCCACGTGAAGCAGCACCCCACGACCCTGCTCGTCCCCTGGTTCCCACTCGGGGGGCAGATCTGACAGCAAAGAGGCGCTGGGTGCGTGCTGCTGCTGCTGCTGCTGGTTGCGGAGAGCGTGAGGCAAGGATGCAGCATAGTGGAACGACACACGGAGTGCGTGCAGTGGTGCAGGGGGTAGCGACCCTCGTTCCTTGCTGGGGCTGCCATGCGCCTGCTTGTTCCCCAGCTGCATCGCCACTGCAGCTGTGTCTGCACAGTCGGAGTGACAGAAAGCGACAGCACAGGTTCGACAGACGAGCATACAATCAAGAGCTTAACGCAACAAGAAGAACATCAAGAATCGCCTCACAGGAATGAAGACCTTGTACGGGTTAGCCAGTCGGGCATTGGTGGCCTCACAATATCACTAGCGCAGCATCGTCACACTGGCACGTGGTGGTGTACCTTGAATGAGCGTGCGCACGTCAGAGACAAGGTACGCGAAGGCCGTTTCATCAGTAGAGCGCATGAGTGCTGCCAACGACCACACCACGTCCACAATGCACGCCACACGTGACCTGGGGCACGCACCACACACACGCGTCATTGCATCCAGCCTCACAACAAGCCTCGCACCCTCGTTCTTAAAAAAGATAAGGTTCACAAATCTCTGGATTAGGAACGACTGGAAGGACTGTATTGCCTGAGCATGCACCGTGAGGCAGGCTCGATTCGTTCCACGACAGCACAGCGGCTCACCTGAGCGGTGCCTCGCCCAGCAGCACCAGCGCGCGTGCGATGAAGGGGAGCGTGGTGGGCGCATGGCCGTGGAGGAAGGTGCCGGGATAGTTCCTCGCGATGTGCATGAGCAGCTTCAGAATGGCCAGCACCTCGCGATCTCGCACTGCCACTCGCAGGGGACGGGAGGGCAGGGAAAGGAGGGCAGGGAGGGCAGGGAGGGCAGGAAGGGAAGAGAGGAAGGGAGGGAAGGAAAGTAAGGAAACCGACGCCGGGGCCGTTAGCGAGGCGGACGGCAATAACGAGGATCCCAGTTCATAAGAAAGAGCGGGGCGTAGTGACGGCGGCGGACGGCGAGATTACCGAGGCGCGGCACCAAGTGCTTGTGCACGAGCGTAGGCAGCACCTCGCGGAACCTTCGCTCCACCACCGCCGCCTCCTCGCCGTCGCCCGCCTGCGTGGCGCCTGCCGTGGCCGCCGTGGCGGTGACCGCCGTAGCCGTGGTGGCGGCGGACGGCGCGACGCGGTTGCCCAGCTCCTGCAGCAGCGCGAACACGTGCGAGCTGGTCGTCGCCTGCGTGTTCGCCATGGTCGCACGCGACCAGCTGCGACGCTGCGAGAGATTCGCGGTCAGAGCACTGAGATCGGTGTGCGAGAAGGACGAGGGTGGATGGAGGGATCAGTGAGGAGTACTATTCGTCGCAAGACAAGCATCAACGCTCTGGATTGACTCTAGAGGTGCAGAGCTGAGAAGCATGATCAATCCACGCAACCGTGGATCTGGATGGCTGTCGCGGAAAGGCTGTGGGATGAGACCCATTGCTTCCTTTCTTGCTGAACTCGTCTCTCTGCAGTGGAAGCCTGAGCCGAGCTGTGAACGGTGCCCGTAGCGACCGCACGCGTGCCAAAACAGAGGCCTTGGGGAAAGCGTCACCTTGGACCAGCATAATAAAACTGTATGATTAGTCAAGTGAATCCAAGGTACCACTTGGAAGGGGTCAGTTAAAAACCGCACTTTAGGGTGATCAAAACCTCGCGAGACATTTCCTGCACAAAATTGTGTAAAACAAAGAGTTGACTATAGGCGGGCAGTTGAAATTGGCGCACGCAAAGTGTACGAAATATTGCGTTCGAACGAGTGCGCAAGTGAGATCGAAAAGTTGTGGTGTTGTAGTAGTAATGCAGTGAGTGGAACCTCGCCAAGTTGCCATATGCAAGGTGGCGCCAGGTCGAACCACTTGCATTTGCATTGCATCATTCCTTGTCGCTATTTAAGCTCACCAAGCTGATGCCGGTACGAGAAATAAAAGAAAAATAAGAAAGAAAAATCATTTAATACGAATCTGATTTCATTTCACCAATACTTAATGCACAGAGTTCCGTTTTGTTGATATGACCGAGAATCGTAATGGATATGAGTTCTAGAAAGACAATCAAGTATTGTGGCGACCTCGTTAAGAACCATATTGCGCCGTCCGCGAGGGTTCCGGAAGAACCATTTTCCGCTGAGTATCTTTCTCCCCTTTGCAAATGATCGGGGAACGAGCTTCCAAGTCCCGCGGCGCTTTAGTGCTGCTAATTCCGCTGCCATGGATGCCTTCCATGTCTCTATATCGGGTCCAAACAGGGCTTGGGGAACGGTGGTAGGTTCCTTGGGAGAGCCGTGGCGAACTGCGACTGCGGGCCCAATGATGCGGAGTCTGTCAGAATCTAGGAACGAATGATGACTAGAAACAAAGCAGGACAAGGTTTGTATATGGCAAAACCTAATTGGGCTGTATCCCATAAGGAGTGCCCCACTACAGCCTAGAGCATAGTTCTGACACACCCCCATAGGCAAAGTGTGGGACAAGCAAGAGAACTAAGCAAGGTCAAGCCCAGGGTGGATCACAACATCACCACGCATTCTGAGCACAAGCGAATGGCCACAAGGCCAGTTTACATGAAGAGTTATGTATATAAAAGAGAACAAGCAGGACAGTGATCACAACCTAACAAGTGTAAGCATGCAGGTATAAATATATAGATTACAGTACAAGCAAAGTTAAGAAGTGAGCAAGTGAGGCCAAGTAGGCACAAGGCCTAGAACAGTACAGAACCGCTGATAATCACAAGGCTGAAGTGCCTTGGTGAAGATATCAGCAGTGTTGACCTGAGAGGCCACGTAAACAAGACGAAGCTGACCACGCTGCTGCAACTCTCAAGCAAGGAAGTAAGCAAAGCGATGTGCTTCGTTTTGTAATCAAGCCTGTGGTCCTGACACAAGGCAATCATGGCCTTGTTGTCGACGTACAGAACCGGAGGAGAACGAGGCGCCTCTCCCAAGTTGGTCAGCAGGTAGGTGAGCCAGCGTAGCTCCTGTGCAGCCATGGCCCCTGCGTAGATCTCAGCCTCACAGCTGGAGCTGAGAACAGAAGACGAGTGGGTAGACCGCCACGAAACAGAACCGGAGCCAAGGCTGAAGGTGTAACCCTGTGACGACCGCTGCGTAGCCAAGTCGTCAACCCAAGAAGCGTCTGCGTGACCAGTGAGGACAACTGGACCCCGTCCTCCAAGCACGAGCCCCATGTCCGACGTACTGCACAAGTAGCGCATCACCCTCTCAGCGGCCTTCCAGTGCTCTGGTCGGTGTCTCCCGGGCGCAACATAGCGTGCCAGGATGCTAAGACGGTAAGCAAGGTCAGGTCGAGTGCAGGTCATCAGGTACATGAGGCAGCCCACAAGCTCTGGATACAGGCCACTCGGCTCTACGGACTCATCCAAAGGCAGAGCTGAGAGCGAGTGACCGGTAGGCAGAGGAGTGGACTGTGGCGAGGAGTACTGGAAGTCGAAGCGCTGAAGGACCTGCTGCACCATGTGTGACTGAGTCAGGGTGATGATGTGGCGTGCTCTGTCCCGGGTGATCTGCAAGCCAAGATAGAGCACCCGGGACAGACTCTGACTCAGCAACAAGACTAGCGGCGTAGTCGAGACGACAGCGAGCAGCAAAGTCGACAAGCTCAGCAACTAAGGCAGACGCAGCAGTGGACTCAAAGGAAGGGTCAGTGACAACAGTAGCTAGCAGACACGTGACAGTAGGGCTGGAAGCACGAAGTGAGTCAGACTCAGCAACCCCAGGACGAAGTGCCATCTAGTTCGTGCCAGGGACAGGAGGGGGACGCGGACGCGGAACACGACGACTAGTGCGAGCAGCGCGAACTGGCGACGCAGGGCGAGACGCAGGCTCACGACGCTCAGCAAGACCTCCAGTCAGTCCAGTGTAAGGAGAAGGACTAGGCAGCGAGGAGGCTGGCGGTAACTGCGATTGCGACTGGTCAGGCGGCGGACACAGTAAGGGAGGAGTAGGACTAGTAGAGGGCAGGAGGCCAAGAACCTGCTGAAGGAGTGGAACGAAGTACGGCCGCGGCCGCGCAGCGCCTCGAGAACCAGTAGAGGTAGCACCAGGACACCCAGTTCCAGAGTCTCCATCTCCAACGCCTGCAGCACCACTAGCTCCAGCACCAGCAGCACCACCAGCAGGAACAGCTCCAGTGCCTCCAGCTCCAACTCCTGCAGCACCACTAGCTCGAGCACCAGCAGCACCAGTAGCAGGAACAGCTCCAGCGCCTCTAGCTCCAACTCCCGTAGAACCACTAGCTCCAGTACCAGCAGCACCTCCAGCAGGAACAGCTCCAGCGCCTCCAGCTCCAACTCCTGCAGCACCACTAGCTCCAACACCAACAGTACCTCTAGCAGGAACAGCTTAAGCGCCTCCAGCTCCAACTCCTGTAGCACCACCAGCCCCAGCACCTCCAGTACCTCCAGTGTGAGCACCTCCGGGACCAGCGGCTCCAGTACCTCCAGCAGCTCCAGTAGCAACAGTACCTCCAGCTCCAGCAGCACGGCTCCAGCGCTGATCAAACCACTCGCGAAGCTGCGGTGGAGAGAGCGGCTCCCGCCGGGACAAGACACCTGTAGGACCTCCAGAGGACAAAGTACCTCCAGGCTCAGCACGCTCAGGCTCCACACTCTCAGACTCAGCAACCCCAGGCACAGCACCCCCAGGCTCCACACTCTCAGGCTCAACATCCCTAGGCTGCGCACCCTGTGAGACTCAGCAACCCCAGGCTCAGAACCCCCAGGCTCCGCACGTTCAGGCTCAGCACCCCCAGGCCCCGCACCCGCAGGCTCATCACCCCTAGAAGTACCAGAGTTGACAGTTACCTCGACAGGCTCGACAGAGTCTACCTGGGACACACCTGAGGGGACAGGATCCTGAGGGGGGAGGGGGTTTACCCGAGGAGGACCTGGTGCTAGGAAGAGCGGCGGGGGGGGGGAGAGGGGCAGTGCGGTAGGGGAAGAGACAGTAAAAGGGAACCGACTCGTCAAACGTGATGTCCCGAGAGGACAGAAAACTGCCAGCCAGGCGCGTCAGGGGGGAAGCCAAGGAAGACGCAGGGAACAGCACGGGAGGACAGCTTGTCCGCGGAAGAATCGCAGACAAAAGCTCGAGATCCCCAGACACGGAACACAGACGCATCGCCAACCTTCCCCGTCCACCGCAGAGCAGGTGTGGTCTCCGCAACGGAGACACGGGGCTGGAGGTTGAGCTGATGCGCAGCGTACTGAACCGCAAACGGTGATAGAAAATGGGGAGCAGCCTCATGGATCATGGACGTACGAGCGGCGTCCATGACCATGCCAATGCGGCGCTCAGCAATCCCATTCTGCTGTGGGGAGGCCGGAAGCGTGAACGTCTGGCGGATGCCCTCCGCATGACAGAAGGCCTGTAGAAGGTCGGAGGAAAACTCTCCATCTCTGTCAGAGTGCAAACGAAGAACAGGAAGGTCCGAGCCGAAACTCTCGCTGAGCTGGCGACGGGCAGCGCGGATCCAGTCGATCAGCACCTCAGTGACCTCACCCTTGCGGCGCAAGGGGAAGACTGTGGTGTAACGCGAGTAGTCGTCAACGACCAGCAGAAAGTAACACTCGTGACCATGTCCACAGACGCGGGCTGTGCCCCCCACGTCTATGTGGAGAGTCTGCAGCGGAGCCTCAGTCGGAGGGAATTCGGAGGAGTGAGGGGTGGCGCGCTGCCGTCCCTCGACGCAAGGAACGCAGGTAGGGGCAGGCCCCGGGCGGAGGGGAGGGAGAGACCGGGTAAGACCAGTGACAAGGACACGGGAGGCCATACCTCGAAGACGAGGCAGGGAGGGGTGACCAAGGCGGTGGTGCCAGAGGAGAGTCTGGTGTGACAGGAGACGACACGAGCAGGAGGTAGACTTCGGACCAGACCTGGACGCGGCAGCAAACACCTGACCAGACGCAGTAACTGGAGTGGAAACAGTAGTCAGGGTGTACAGGCTCGACCCAGGCTGACGGGTAAACGTGGCGAGGTGGCGGCCTTTCCGAGTACACGTACAGTGGGTCACCCGCTGACCACCAGGAGTGAGCTGGTCAACCCACACGTCCTGGAGGTCAGCTCCACTCACCAAGTTCGTAGAGAACGAGGGAAGGTGCAGACCCGACAGTGAGCCAGACGGGACCGCCGGACACGGCAGAACCGTAGAGCAGTGTGCAAGGACTGGACCCCCAGAGGGGCGTGAGATA